TCTTTTGCAGACGGAACCAAATCACGGATGTTATGTAACGTGTTGAATCGGACCTGGATCTTGTGTTTATTCAAGATTTTGGAGATCTTTTTGGTGATCCCCGCAATGTAGGGTAAAGTGCTTGTTTTGAAAGATGGATTCTGGCTTAGCAATCATTGGAAGGATTTGATAAACTATTTCGGGTCTTAATTGATTGATCATGCTTAAGGTGGCTTTCAGACCGCATCCATTATTTTTTCGTCTCCCCCCTCCTCTTTTCTGAACATAGATGGACTCATATTCTTAGTTTTTTTTCGGTAAAGTCACGTTGAAGAGAAACAACAAAATAATAAAATATATATTTATTATTAACAAAATAATAAAATATATATTTCATTATTTTGTTGTTTCTCTTCAACGTGACTATTTATTATTAACAAAATAATAAAATATATATTTTAATAAAATATATATTTTATTATTTTGTTGTTTCTCTTCAACGTGACTTTACCGAAAAAACTAAGAATATGAATTACTGCAGTCACGAAAGCTTTAAATCAAAAAATAGATGGACTCGTCCATCTGAACAAACTGTCAAATCGCTATCCGTGGTGCTAACGTTAAAAAACCGCCACTTTTTTCAAATTTTCTTGTTGTGGTTTTCACACCTGATGATGATTGCTTGTGTTGCAGTCAAAACGTCGTGTTAACTTTATTATTTTATATTTTTATTATTTTATTGTTTCCCTTCTACGTGACTTTACCGAAAGAACCAAGAATATTAATCCCTGCAGTCACTAAAGCTTTAAATCAAAATTATAAAATATATATTATCAGTGTGTTTTTTTTGTTTGCATTTTGACTGCAAGTATTGTGGTTAATGCAGACATGAATCCTTGTATAAAAGGTTTCAGTTTTGTTGCCAGAAAAAAATGGGAAAAACCCTATCATTATATTTTGGTACTTGCAAAGGAGGTCCAATGATGTTTAACATTATACGATATTGGTATGACGACTCTGGATGCACAACAGTACTTATGTATCCCTTAGAAAGATGAGGCTTACTTTTTTCATATGGAATAAAATGCAAAACAAATGACAATAATATTATTTGGTTATTTCGGTAAAGTCACATAGATAGAAAAATAAGAATAAAGTGAATACAAATAATAAAAACTAAAAAAAACATTAATGTAGACTGTAGCCTGGTTTTTAATCGGAGTGAGTGTACTGGCAGTCTATAATGTAGACTGCAGCCTGGTTCTTAATCTGAGTGAGTGTACTGGCAGTCTATAGTGTAGACTGTAGCCTGGTTCTTAACCTCGGTGAGTGAACTGGCATTCCATAATGTAGACTGTAGCCTGTTTTTAAGCAGTACTGGCAGTCTATAATATTAGTAGTCTATAATATAGACTGCCAGTACGCTTACTCAGTTTAATAACCATTGCTACAGTCTATATTATAGAATGCCAATACGCTCACCAAGCTTGACAATAAGATTAGACATTGGTTTGTTTAACATATGTATCACGAGAGTTTTACATTTTAAACAATATCAATATTCATGAACAATCGTGATATATCCCTTACAAAGATGGCGCTGCCCTTTCGAATACAATATGCACATTAAAAACAATCCCTAACATAGTTCTTTATATAAAGGCAGGTAGTAAAAAGTGATTAATTTTAGTAATATTTTATACGCGACTTTAAACAATAGCAGCACTATAAAGTTACAATATACCGTGAGCTATCCCTTACCAATATGGCGCTGTCCTTTTTTTGCACACATCATGAATGATGCATAATAAATGAAAAAAAGATTCGACCAAAAAAATGCTATTTATACACTTTAAGCAATTACAGCATTGTTAATTTACAGCTAGTGCATACAATACTAAACTGTATACCACGACTTATCCCTTACAACGATAAGCACTGCCTTGGGCACATATCCCGCAGTAAAAATACATTGAAGAGAGGGGAGTGTGTTTATTTATAACCACACGTAACATTCTATTACTTTAAACACCAGCTGCAGCATTATTAATGTACGTCTCGTCCATATGCTGCTACTTATTATCCCTCACAGACACAACATAAATGTATTATTAAAATAAGCCATAGATAATAGCGAGCAGTCGTGCTTACAGCGAAACAGTCTGAGAGGTATAACTATTAATATGAAACATTTACAAGCTGTTTATCGGGAAACATACTTTTGCAAATATAATCATTAGGCGCGATGCTGAAAAGTGCAGTCTCCGCCACTTATGAAGGGCCATTGCTTGAAACGTCGCCTCTGATATCGTTATCCTCTGAAGAGTTGTGTTGTTTGTTGGCTGTGCTGGCGCGGCATCACCCGCATCATCGTTTAGTTTCAGGGGAATGAGAGTGAGGATGTTGATGAGGATGTTGATGATGATAACCACGATGAAGAGGATGAGGATGGTGATGATGAAGATAAAGCAGACGATGAGGATGGTGATGATGAAGATGATGATTACAATTATGATACAGATGATGCGGATGGTGATGACAAAGAAGATGATGAGGGAGGTGATGATGATGATGAAGATGATGATGCAGCAGATGATGATGGTGATGATACAGATGATGATGAGGGTGGTGATGATGATGGCAATACAGAAGATGATGAGGATGATGAGGATGGTGATGCTGATGAGGGAGGTGATGATGACAATACAGATGATGATGAAGATGATGAGGGAGGTGATGATGACAATACAGATGATGAAGATGATGATGAGGGAGGTGATGATGACAATACAGAAAATGATGATGATGATGATGATGACGGAGGTGATGATGACAATACAGATGATGAAGATGATGATGAGGGAGGTGATGATGACAATACAGAAGATGATGAAGAAGATGATGAGGGAGGTGATGATGACAATACAGAAGATGATGAAGATGATGGAGGTGATGATGACAATACAGAAGATGATGAAGATGATGATGAGGGAGGTGATGATGACAATACAGAAGATAAAGATGATGAAGATGCTGAGGGAGGTGATGATGACAATACAGAAGATGATGAAGATGATGATGAGGGAGGTGATGATGACAATACAGATGATGATGAGGGAGGTGATGACAATACAGATGATGAAGATGATGATGAGGGAGGTGATGATGACAATACAAGAAGATGATGAAGATGATGATGAGGGAGGTGATGATGACAATACAGAAGATGATGAAGATGATGAGGGAGGTGATGATGACAATACGATGAAGAAGATGATGAGGGAGGTGATGATGACAATACATAAGATGATGAAGATGATGATGAGGGAGGTGATGATGACAGTACAGAAGATGATGAAGATGATGATGAGGGAGGTGATGATGACAATACAGAAGATGATGAAGATGATGAGGGAGGTGATGATGACAATACGATGAAGAAGATGATGAGGGAGGTGATTATGACAATACAGAAGATGATGAAGATGATGATGAGGGAGGTGATGATGACAATACAGAAGATGATGATGAAGAAGATGATGAGGGAGGTGATGATGACAATACAGAAGATGATGATGAAGATGATGAGGGAGGTGATGATGACAATACAGATGATGATGAAGAAGATGCTGAGGGAGGTGATGATGACAATACAGATGATGGAGATGATGATGAGGGAGGTGATGATGACAATACAGATGATGGAGATGATGAGGGAGTTGATGATGACAATACAGATGATGAAGATGATGAGGGAGGTGATGATGACAATACAGAAGATGATGAAGAAGATGATGAGGGAGGTGATGATGACAATACAGAAGATGAAGATGATGAAGATGATGAGGGAGGTGATGATGACAATACAGATGAAGATGATGAAGATGATGAGGGAGGTGATGATGACAATACAGAAGATGAAGATGAGGGAGGTGATGATGACAATACAGAAGATGAAGGTGATGAGGGAGGTGATGATGACAATACAGAAGATGATGATGATGATGAGGGAGGCGATGATGACAATACAGAAGATGATGAGGGAGGTGATGATGAAAATACAGAAGATGAAGATGATGAAGAAGATGATGGTGATGATGATGACATTACAGAAGATGATGAGGGAGGTGATGACAATACGACGAAGAAGAAGATGATGAGGGAGGTGATGACAATACGATGAAGAAGAAGATGATGAGGGAGGTGATGACAATACGATGAAGAAGAAGATGATGAGGGAGGTGATGATGACGATGAAGAAGATGATGATGATGAGGGAGGTGATGACAATACGATGAAGAAGAAGATGATGATGAGGGAGGTGATGACAATACGATGAAGAAGAAGATGATGAGGGAGGTGATGACAATACGATGAAGAAGAAGATGATGAGGGAGGTGATGATGACGATGAAGAAGAAGATGATGATGATGAGGGAGGTGGCTCTGCGAGGCACGGTGATGTCACTGCTCACGTGGCGTGCCGGGGCCGTCACCACGAGCCCGGATAAAGAGAGAGAGGGGGGGGGTCTTGAGGCGGTCGCCGCTGCCGCTGCTGCTGCAGCAGTCCCGGGGCAACGCCGAGCGGCAGTGGCTCGCTCGCTTTCTCTCTCTCTCTCTCATGCCGGCTGGCAAGAAGGCGAATGAGGAGAGATAGAGTAAGCGACAAGACGACGAGGAGCGGCGTATCGGTAGTCATCGTTTAAAGCATCGGCAACCACATTCGCCCTTGGGTGGGCGATGCGCGCTGTCTCCGCGTGAGAGAGTTGTAATAAGTAGCAATGTTGTGCTTGTCGTCATAATGTTGTTGTCATCATGTTGTTGTTGTCATAATAATGTTATTGGAGAGCTGCGCTCGGCACGGCAACGGTGATGAAGGAGTCGTCCTCATTATCATCACCACCACCCGCAACCTCCTCTCGCGTGCACGATTCTCAATGAAGCCTCTCGTCTAGGTACGTGGCGGAATGCGGATGAACAATTATTAAATTCGGTTCCAAGCAGCAGCAGGTAAATGTGATAGGCTAACGACGCAGAGACACCCTCACTCGCCCCACCAGCACCCCCCACGTGTAGTGTGGGGTAAGTGGCGTGCCATTGGGGAGGGCTCTTCCATGTCGCCGTGGCCGCCACCCTTGTCACAACTTCGTTGCTTCGCTCGATGCATTCTGAACGTTGTCCGACGGCTCCCTGCAGGGAAATAAAGCGGACAGACAGTGTGAGCGAGAGAGAGCGAGAGAGAGACACGCGGGGGCATTGGGCAAGCGACAGCTGCGCACACCGAAGAGGCTATTTGAAGCGGGGCTCTCCGACTCTCGCTCTGGTGGGGCGGTGTGAAGGATCTGGGTTAAATTTAGGAGCAGCACTCCCCCTCCTCCTCCTCTTGCTGGACCACAGCTACTGGGGGGGGAGCCGTGTCTGCTCGCACGTAGACGCAGCCGCCGCCACCACCATCGGCACCAACAACCTTTACGTGCTGCTCGAACAACATCATCTACAGCATCAGTTGCTGCTGCTGGAACCACCATTATTATTTACGACAACAACCACCACCACCAATTAAAAGTTGCCTCAACGCTCGTCCTCTAGAGAAGCTGCTCCGCCGAGCGAACGATCTCGACTTGGGCTCCATTCACCACGAGACCCGATCCCGGCAACGCCCGACTCCACCATCTGAGTCGTCGGCGGGTTTCACTTTTCACCAGGCTACTTGCGATTCCCCATTGGCCAAGGTCGAGGCCACCCAGCCAACGTCCACCATCTTAGCACCTCCACCAGCGGGTCCACCATCTTAGCACCTCCACCAGCGGGTCCACCGTCTCTGGGAGCATCTGCGCCGTCAACTCTGCGGTCCCCTCAAGCGCCACCGACGTTCCGCAGCGGCAGCAGCAACAGCAGCAGCAGCATCGCTCACACTTGGCCAAGCTCGACTTTCGGCTCTTTAACAGCTGCCAACCATCAGCACCAAGCAGGCTTTGCGAGAGCTGCCGCTCATTGTCCAACGCCGGCTGCACACCTCCATTCGAGGAGTAGGAGACGATGTGGAGCACGGCCACGTGTCTGGGAGGTTGATCGCTTGGCCGCGCCGGGCATTGTCGAGGTGCAGCGCGAGTTGAGTTTCGTTTTGACGTTTCATTCACGTGGCCTTTTCCTCTCTCTCGCACACTCGGGGTGGGCATTGTTGTCCCATCGTTAGAGCTGTGTTTAACTTCGCCTCTCGCTCTCTCTCACTGTGGCCCACGTGTGCGTTCTCCTTGCAACTTTATTGTCAATTGCAACTTGTGTATGTTCCTGCATTAGCTTCATGTTTGATGGTGTAACTCTCTGGCTTTGCTCTCACAGACTTGAAGACCTTCAAATCACCAGAAGCTCGAGTTCCAAAGTCTTGACGCCGTGCACGAATACTATAACTTGACCCCGAGTTCGCTGCCTTCACCACCAGCAGCAACCGCAGCAGCACCACCACCAACCTACTGGCTCGTCCACCATGGCCCTCCACGTGTCGGCCGATGGCCTCCTGAGCGTCCATGACAAGGAAGACTCCAAGTGTCCTCCGACGCCAGAAGATCAGGACGAGGGAGAGGGCGCCTTCCATCTCCTGCCCAAGTCGTCGCCACGCTTGCCCAGGCGATCTTCCAACGACGACCTGGAGGCGGGAAGTGGGACGGAACCAACGAGCCCGTTGATACCTACGTCTCCTTCCATCGGCTCGCCCAGGAGACGGGTGTCCTTTGCGGACAACTTTGGACTGGAGCTGACCGCGGTGAAGTTCTACGACGAAGCCGAGGTGCCGGATGTCCCCGAAGCGATTCTCGACCCGCTCCGGGATGAGACCGACGACGATGTGATGAGGAGGTTGACGTTGAGATTCAGGAGCTGCGACGTGATGAACGCCACCACCAACTCGACCTCCCCCATCTCGCCCCCCTCCACGTGCAAAGGCCACCTCTTTTTGAAACCCAACTTTGATGTCCCGTCCAGCAGGTCCGACCTCCTGGCCGAGGTTCGTGCTAATCAGGTGGCGCTGGAGTCTGTCGCCGTTGAGGAGGAGGACCCCCTGTGCGTCAGGATTCTAATGAGGGTGCACAACATCTGCTACCAGAAAACCGTGTTCGTCCGCAGGACTTTCGACGGCTGGGCCAGCTTCTACGACCTCCTTGCCGAGTACGTGCTGGACTCGAACGATGGCGCCACGGACCAGTTCGCGTTCCGTCTCTCGCTGCCACCTCCCCTTGCACTGGAGGGCACCGCCATGGAGTTCGCCGTGCGTTTTGAGACCCCCTTTGGCTCCTTCTGGGCCAACAATGGGCAGACGAACTATAGCCTCGTCTGCTGCTGGGCCGATGATGTGGACGGGATTGGAGCGGCGGCGACACCTGCTGCTGAGGAGGAGTCCGCAGACAAGAACTTGAGGAGCTGTCTCAAGACGAAAAGGTGCGTGGTGGTGAGACCCTTCTGTATAGTGTTTAAATTAGGGGGGGGGGGGGTATGGCCAGAGTAACATTTTAAACAAACTTTAAACGAATGTTGAACGTTAAACTGAATGAGTAACTATATGGTCTGCCCCTTGTCTTTTATTCTGCTGCCCTTGTCCTGTGTAAGAAGAATGGCTGCTACCGCCGTGATTTAAATGCCACTGGCTGGTTTTTAAATATTGTAAAACTTTTCAGAAATTAGAAGAGAGGCCAGTGGATTCCATACAAAATATATGTTTAAGAAAATTTACGAATATTGAGAATCTATAATGTTGTGGTTGTATTTTTACAACCAATGAAGGAATTTACATTGGCCATAAAATGTAATAATTGATTGTAAAAAAAACTAAAACGCTCAGTCTCATTTCAAGGCAATGCTATTTATTGAATGGTCCTGAGCCAATATTATAAATTCCATGTTTCAGTGGTTGGGGTTGTGCTTTAAAACGACGTGGCTTTTCACAAAGTTGTGCATTCTCAACAGTGATGATGCGTATATTATCAACCACATAAATAATCTCTCTAGCGTATGGCAAGTTTGCAAATCACACGTCTAAGTTTAAGTCTGATCAGTTGGCCCTTAAAAGAACGATACAGTAAAATTATTAAATTTTGATTTAAAGCTTTCGTGACTGCAGAGATTCATATTCTTGGTTCTACGTGACTTTACCGAAAGAACCAAGAATATAATAGTAAAATTATTGTTCTTGAATGACATTGCGGCGATGAACATCACCTAATTGTATTCAATTGACTCCACTTATCCACAGAAAAAAAACATGTGATTGAAAGGATGAGTTTTCCAATAAGCTTATCTTATCTGCAGAAAAAAACTTCCCATGCATGCCTGGAATAAGGGCTCCTTCCAGACTGGCGCATGGCCCCTCGGATAACAGGATGAATTTGCCAGTAGCTTCCTCTAAATCCACGCACACTGTGGATAATATGAACCCATGTTTCAATGCAGACAGAAAATGAAACCGATAATTGCAGATGGGGAGAAATAATGGTGTGGATACCAGGACTTTTCGCAACTCCCTCTGATAATGAGTTGTGGGTAATATGGTCGCGGATTAATATGTGGATTATGTCTTGGTATTAGGGTTTTAATGTCCTCTTGTTGTGCCCTCTGCAGCTGGGAGCCCTCTCCAGAGACACTGCAGGCCGAGGCCATCGCTGACGGTACGGAGATTAAAACGTGTAAAGGTATTGGTTGAAATGACAAATCGCTGAAGTTTATCTGCTGTGGGCAACACGTGTGTTTTGATAACAGCGGATTTAGATTTTATGAAAAATAAAACTTGCATTCAGCACGGTCCATCTGTTTAACATCATTGTTAATAATGAACCAAAGAGTAATATAAGGGTTAGTAAGTAGAGGTTTTTGCTGGCAGGGATTGTCCATTATTTAACCAGGTGAGTGCATTGAAATGTGTTACTCGTGCAAGAGGAACTGAGTAACCATGATTTCAGTTTTTGCGAGTGCAGCCTTGTGCTAAATATAAATAAATAATGCTGGTTACATCACTTGGCACAAATAGCCCGCAAAATATATTGAGGTATTTTATGCGCACTCTACAGCAACGAATTCCTTTTGCAATGAAGTAAGTGAACCATTGACTTTGTGCAAATACGTTTTGCCACAGTTCTAAAACTAGGCATACTCCCTGAACCCCAAAGCAAGCAACAACTATCCTTACCGGGGAGTAAATGTGGACATTTCAATGCATCTATACCGCTGTAATGAAACGCAAATATCAATTCAAATACGTGTGTGATGGCGTATATCTCCAATGGTGATCCTGATGCTTTCGAAATTGCACATTATTGTATAGCAGGGACATGCCCACCCACTATGCAACCACTGTTTATCGTTGCACAAAGTAATTCAGCCTCCTTTAACAGGGGGAAGTGCTCGTTTCACCGAACCCAAAACAAATGATGATGGCTTGGGTCAACTGTGATGCTCTCGAAGTTGGGAAATTTGCTGCTTTGCAAATGTGTTGAGGTCGTATGTACAATCCTCTGCGTGGCTCCTGATAGGTGCTTCTTAGCAACCGCCTCATGATTGCAGTAAAACACTGCAGTGCCAATGTTCATAGCGTCGCCATTCAGCTATGGAGACTGCCTAAAGGTTATTTTTTTCCATTACTGTACTGCCGCTTGTTAATAACGTCGCCTTATGACTAAAAGTAAGCTAGCTAATGCATCAACCAATGTGTACCTCTTTATTGGTGACAAGGCGGTGTTCATGATGAAGGTGGTGAAAAGTGTTTTCAGCTTTAGCTTCTCCACTGCCAATTCGGACTCCATCCCGAGTGTTATTTTTCTTAACTCGTTGAGAGGGAAACTGCAACACGTGTCGTTGACTTTTTCCTAAATATTATTTGGTCGGTTTAACCAACACACGACGACTCGTTGCAGACGTGTCTTTGCACATGAGCATTAGTCGTGTCATAACCTTATGACATCGAACTTGCCTTATTATGTTATCTGGGGCGTTTGCTTTCTGCTTGTATATATTTTACGACCGGGCGCATTCCTGCATGTGCAGTTGAAACAAGTGCAAACTAAAGCGAGTTTCCAGCATGACTCTATTTTGTAATTCACATCACAGCCTGTGGCCATTACTGGGCCGAGATGTTAATGAGTTTCTTTAACCCAGACGTCCTAGCTGCAGCCAAGAGTCGAACTCTTGAGGGCCTATTTATTGTCATGTTAAACTCCCATTTGCAATAAATAATAATACGTGCCAGTGTTAACATTACTTGTGCGTAGGTTACTGCTCCATTGGTGGTGGGTTTGCGCTGGAAACGAGCCTTCGTTTTGAAGCGGGGAAGTCTCGTGGAGACGGAGGGAGCATATACTTTTATCTCCCAACAGCTACAGCGTACGGAGAGATCCTTCGTTTAATACGGAGGCTTTCGTGACCAATATCATCCATAAGAGGTTTTTTTTGGGTTAGATTGCGTAAATATATAAATGCATTTCTGCGAAGTGCATTTGTCGTTTAAAAAAGTGTGAACACAATTCTAGAAAAACATTTCTGTAAAAACGTATCGATCCACTGCTGGTTAAAGGCCTCCCCAAGCTATGTCAGTTGTGACCATACTTCACCATGCTGGTCAATGTGGGCTGGTAAGAGGGGGACGCCAGTGTGTGAGGGGCAGCCATTCAGGACGGGTTAATTTATCATTTGGCAGCCGTGGCCAGTAATCAAACTCGGGTAGCCCAATTCGTGCGCTAACCTCTATATATGTACGTAGCCAACCCTGTGAATCGGAGGTGCGGGGGAAGGACAACAAACTAAACACAAAAAGCAGTTCTAAACAAATGAGTTCTCCATCTAGATTTAAAAGTGCATAGCTCCAGTGGCTTCCTAATATCGCAAGGAAGAGCATTCCAGATGGCCATAGAAGCGCATTTGAAAGCAAGTGACTGTTCGATGGCTAGCCAAAAGCCACTGCGAGGAAAATCGGAGTTCACGTGATGGTTTATGCTCTTTAACGAGATCAGCAAGGTATTTTGCTTCGTCTGTGCCACCTATTAATGTTAATTGTGTTAACGTGTAATTATCCTAATACTTAAAGACCCTATAAAGCAACTTTTGAGTCGTGTTGTCCTACAGTGTCTTTTGGTATTAGGGACCTGGGTGACATTCAGGTGTCCAGCTCCACCCCACCACCACGACCTTCCCTAATCCACACAGACCAGCATGGTGAAGCATAGTCCCCCCCCCCAAGCCAACGTGGTACGGGAAGGTTTTCATCCAGCAGCGGATTGAACAAGGGCTGTATATTGTTTGATGTTATATTTAGCAGATTTCCCATTCTGGATAGACAACCAACACCGACCGGATTATAAGATGTGCCAACACCCTTTGTTTTAAAATACAAGGGAGGAGAAAAGTGCATGTTATTATGTAAAGAAAACAGATTTTTTTTCAAATATATTTTTGTAAGATGATTTTTCAAAGTTGGCTATTGGCCAATGGCACGGGCACTTAGGGGACTCCTTTCATGGGTGATGGGGTCTCTGACTTTCGCTTGGGCAGAATAATTTATTTTGGAAATGCCTCGCTGCATTACACTGGGTCTTTGCAGGTATCAACGTTCCAAGCCAGTACAGACTGGCGCAGTGGCTTGGCATGTGAACTGCGCTGTCGTCAGTGTAGGTATTCTGCCAAGGTTATCATTGCAATCGTTACAATGAACATGGTGGTAATCCGTTATATTCCCTTTTTTTTACTTTATTTCCTTTTTGAGTGGAGTCAAATACCATAATAATATGTTTTTACAACAATGTGGCCGAAGCTCATAATTCCGCAGCATTAAGTCCGAAACGTTAATTTTTCTTTCTGGGATCCGATTGTAATCCGCACCGCTCGATAAAATGCGGTGCTTCATTTTGACAAAACGAGTGCTCGCATTTTGTCAAATATGCGTATTTAAATGTGTATGTATGTTGAAATGAGTTAGATGAGTGTTACGTTGCAAACCTGCCCAATCAATATCCTTGAGAAGTCGCGGGCGACGTGACCGTGGTTTGGCGAGGTCAATCCACTGCTGGATGAAGGCCATGTCTGATGATGATGGCTTTTACTGGTAGGAACGGAGTTGTAAACTGAGTGTACCAGCCTGCAATAGATTAATGTGTCCATCCGTCCCCTTTCAATACTTTAACGAAGTGAAATCTCGTGCTGTTGGGTGTAATAAAATTACGCAAAATTCCAATGTTCCTACCAGCCCACCCTGCAGGGACCTGTAAATGAAAAATCGCATAAACTAAACACGTAGACATAATGCTAAATTTGAATAGACATTGTTGTTTGACATGCAAAACCCAGTTCACAATGTACAAGACTAGTAACATACGTTAGCTATTTGCATGGCATTGTCACTCGATTTTATACTACTTGAGTAACCATGGTAAAATGTCAGTTACTTCGCAAGACACGTCCAATTGGTGACCCGTGCCGTTGTCATATTTCATCGGCCAATCATTACCTTATCAATCGTTTTGTGGGCACTGCATATCAAGTTACGCCACGAGCAGTATCTTTATTTTCGTGCAAACTACAACCTTGGTGGCGAATGGCCCAGCGTGTTTATTTGCTTGGATCCCCATGCTGGGCAAGAACCGTGGAGCCCATTGCAGTAAAGCACTGTATATTGCTTGGCCGCGTGCCATCATTGTGCAGGCGCATTTGCAGCGTTGCCTCCCCCTCCCCGTATGCATGGCTAATGAAGAGACCAATATGGCAAGATGAAATAACCCACCAAACCTCATCATGCCCAATTCGTGTGCGCGTTGCTTTCTCCGGGTGAAAAGTAGCTTCGTGATTTTTCTGCCACCCCTCCGCACCACCCCCCCCTCCAGGAATAAAAATCCATGGATTGTGTGTGGCTTCCCCACCCCCGCCCCCCCATTATTTGGCACAGGCTTGTTGAGTTGCCTTGTTTGACCCGCTGGTCTGGCTCTGAGCCCGAGGGATTTTAACAAATCTAAGTCTCTTCAACCATGCCCAGTCTCTAGGGGGGTATTGACATACGCCCACTTATTATACTCCCAGAGTGCGTTTGTGGTTTTGTATTTACCAGACCCCCGTCAATTGTAAATATTATTGTTAATGTTTTTAAATAATTATCGCAATCCTATAATTTAGATTTTATTTAAACGAGTGTTTGTGGAATTAGTTTACAACAAATCAATGGTGACCTAACGTTTGACATTGCCAAGAATTGATTTCTGGTGTAACAGCTCATGTTGCAAATTAAAACTGGCCTCACCTAAAATTGGAGAAGTATTTACTTGACCTACAAAAATGTTTTCCAACCTCTTTTTTCCCCCCCTTTGCAAAACGACACAAGGCACTTCTTTGAGCAAAGGACATGCAATAAAATGAGGGCTACAATAATAACGCTGATGAATTACAACACTGTGGTGTAAAGCAAATATGATCTTCTGGTTCTGGGGGTTTAATCTTCTCGGTGAAACTGCTGTCGTGCATTGCAGTGAGCAAGAAAAGTAATACTCTGCACTGTACTGCAGTTTTTTTTCTGACTGCGCTAAAAATATCACAGCCAGTGGCCAACACTGACAACACTAACTGACCGCCAAGGCATCTGTCCTCTTGCAGAATAAAACTCCTTCCAGCTAAACACCCAGGCTCACACGCCGAGCTACGCAGGCGGGTGCACAAACCTAGGCATTGTCTCAAAACGCCAACGTTGATTCCGAAATGTAAACACGTCCTTGCCGTGCTCTGCAGACAACCCCTGTGCAGCTCACCTTTCCCCCACCTTGACTTTGCTTTTGTAGCGGGGAGGGTTGTGTCCGCTTGTGGTCTTTGAGCCACTGTAAAGTCTACAGTTGCTTTGCTGACCCACTTGGATACCGCTCGCCGATTCGAGTGCTTGTTGTACCGCTGCATGGGTTTTGGTATCGCTGCAGTGCTGAATGGCTCTCCCTCAGATGCCTCCTTCGAGTTGCATAACACGCGTCGTTCATTGTGATGTCTGACGTTTCGCTCCTCGTGCCGGCCGGGAGATGCTTCTGTGGTGGAGCTAATGACACTGAATGAGTAGAGAAACGACGTTTGGACGTTGTGCTGAGCAGCATGTATTGTATTCCAACACGTAGTGCTCCTTACGTGACTTTATTTTTATCTCGACATTGGAAACTTACTTGAAGGTTATTTTGCATGACATAGTGGACAGAAATAATCGGATTATTTTTAAGGCAACGTCTGTGTCTGTCTCAAGACCTGTACACTAATGTCAGAGGGAACTTTTCGTCCTTGTCCCCAATTTTATTTGGACGACTTTTGGTGTCAGTAGCTAGTGCTGTTGCTTAGCCAGCAGAAGGAGATGTTACAGAACTAGTTCTGAGATCCCTTCCACACTCGGCACGACACTTTCCCACATGTCGTGCCGTAGAGAAGTTGTCACCGACTGGCAGCCAAACCGATATTTAATTACCAGAGCTGGAATGTTTTACCAAAGTAATTTTAAATAACCTAAATTATAATGATGGATTTTTTTGTGCTCATTGACTAGGCTGCTTGATACAGCTGAGAAGCGAGTGGTACAACCCAGAAGAAACACGTTGGGGCACTATAGCATTAACAGGACATCTGGCAGGTGTTTTATCCAGAGGAAGTAATGGATTTAATCGATTGTATTCGATTTGTTATTGAATATAATGTTCGGAAGACATACTCAGCATGAATGCATTTCAGTTGCGTATTGCATAAAAATGCCTCCCATAACACGTTTGAAAATTATATTCGTAAGAGAAAGCACTTAGCTGTGCACTCTTTTAATTCCAATTAATTGTTTAACATTTTCATGAAATATTATTGATGTTCATTGGAAATCGTGCACAAGAACACTTTGAGTAATACAGACTGCATAAGATGTGATTGAATGAAGAGCGTCTTTAACATTGTGTTAACATTCTCCCACAGACATGAAGGTGAATGATCTTGGAAATTCAGACCCACTTCACCCAAGCAATCTCAAGCCCAGCAGTTCAATGGAGGTACATTTCCATCGTGCTGTTTACTCCACAGAAGGTGGTCGGATATTAGTCGTGTAGTAAGGCATCGACTTAATGGATTCAAGTTTATTTTGCACTCCTGATACGTTTGTCGAATCGTGCATGCAAGAAGCGATTTTGTAAAGTGATATTCACATGGTATGCTAAAGTGTAACGTTTAGGATAATAGCAAAAGGAAACCATACAATGTTAGAAACGACTAACGAGATGGTGTTTATTCCTTAATCCTGACTTAACACCTAATTGTAAGAATTATTTGATTTGCCGGGGGGATGTATCGGTTGGTTAACGCTGTGCCTGTCTCACAGCGTTAAGCCAGCGCAGCTAAAAAAAAAAACCCCGTAGTTCAAATCCTAAAAGGGAATTTGCTTGCGTACACAACTATACCTTGTGTCAATGCAGTGTATTATGCAAAACCGTGTATACATTGCACAAGTCAACAGTGAAGCAAACCTTGGAGGTTAGAGGAGGTTGACTTTGCAACAGCCACAGGCTGTAGCAGAAGGAAGGAAACCATGGTGAGTTGTGGTGCCATCGGGATATTGCTCTGGTCATGAATTAGGAATGGCTAAATTATGCCTCTCAGAATGACATGTCATTGTGGCTGACATGCGACGGACATTACGCTCTGTGACAGAGCAGGTGGGAAAAGTGCTGCCCGCTGTTGCGTGTGAGGACCCAGAGGTCGCTTGAAAGGGATCTCAGAAGTAGCTTTGCGATATCTGCTTCCGTGGCTCATTTTATTTCACCAGATTCCCGTGAGAGATCCAAGTGGATACTTTGTTTCATGATGCTGATAGACAAATTGTTATAAAAATTGGGAACATTGCAAACCTTTTTTTTACGGGAATTTATTAAACGTTACTGCCATGTATTCGTTTGGAGATTCAGAGGCTTTTCTGGCTAAAGGGGTGTAATAGTATGCCACGTGTGTGCATATATAAACATCAAGAACTGCGCGTGTCCAGAGTTCAAGCATTTATCTCCACGAGAGGATTTTATTATGAATCGTAACATGTCACAGTGGGTATGATGAATCTCTTTCCCTACGTAATTGCAGCAGCGCCATAACGACTATAGCTCCTATGTGTGTGTGTTTACACAGTACAGTCATGCAATTATCGACTTCCATTCAGCTCGCCATAGTGATGTGTCCCGGGTTCATCGAGTTCATAGCCATGGCTGGCAAGCAAAAAAAGTATTGTGAAATTGATAGCACTTTCATGTTGGCCAAGGCCTCTAAAATATTTTTTATTACAATCTCAGGGCGTTTAATGAGAGAGTTCGCACACACATGACCAGACACACGTGCGAATATCCTCGATTTATCTTTATAGGCTGTTAAGGTAGTTGCTGTTTGTGAGCACATGTTTGCTCCAGGTCTTATTTTTTAGGCTGAACTAACTTTAGGGGCTACCCAAGCCATATCCAAACACCACTGTACTGTCAGTGTTAATTGCCAGCAACTCAACCCAGATTCGGGGTGATTCATAGCACCGAGTCTTGCAACACGACACATGCGCAGTCTAAATTGCAGTTCTTGCATTTTAAGCAGTGCTTTGTGCAGGTTATCTCGGAGCAGATTTTAAATGGCAGCGTAAAAGGGCAAAGCACAGCTGCCTCTTGGCTGGTCTGCTGGAGAATGCCCTTGGTGTCACAGTAGGGGGCACAATGAAGAAGGGGGGGGGGGCTCTTCAAGGAAAGGTCGCATGCCCTTTCGTGTCTGTGTGCGTGGTGTAATATCTCGCCACTGGGGCGCCGCGGTGGCGACCGTCTGGAACTGCTCTTCCGATTTATCGGGACGCCACTGCAGCTAAGTATGTTTAGATATAGATTGAAAATTAGAACTGCTTTGTTTTAGTTTGCTGTCTTTCCCCCGAACCTCCGATTAGCACGGCTGGCGACGTACGGTGCAAAAGAGTTAAACACACACACACATGTTAACTCCTTTGCCTAGTACAGAAGAGGTCATGGGTTTGACCCCGACCCTGATGCTTGTATATTTGGACTTTGCATGTTGTCTTTCCCCGTGGTCGTGTGGCTATTTCTCCGGGTCTTCCGGTTTTTCCGTCCGCATTTAGAATCCACATCACACGTTTAGAGTATTTGGTTACTATAAATGTGCACATGGCAAGCCATTTTCGTTGTGTCCAGGTCGCTTCTGAAAAAAGAGCGAAATAGCTCAGTGGGCCTTACACCCTGGTAACATAAATAAAGTTTAGTCTTTTATAAGGCCTGTGGGACAAGAAGAAACTTAACTCGTTGGGGTCAAATGGACCTTATGGTGGGACCCTGGGGTCCCGAATAAACGTAAGTCAAAATACCTTCTTTGGTTCTTTCGGTAAAGTCACGTAGAATGAGAATAAAATAATAAATTGATAAAATAAAATAACACAATAATATTCTCACGACGTTTCGGCCACAACACAAGCGGGATGAAGGCCGCTTGTGTTGTGGCCGAAACGTCGTGAGAATATTATTGTGTTATTTTATTTTATCAATTTATTATTTTATTCTCATTCTACGTGACTTTACCGAAAGAACCAAAGAAGATGAATCATTGCAGTCACGAAAGCTTTAAATCGAAATGTAAGTCAAAATAGTAATTAGTTAATTTATTTTTGGCGACTCCGTCCCACCGCGCACATAAATGCCGCGACCCACCAGAAATCATTCCTCTCCTCGTTCTTCACCAAGCACCCGTCGTTGCCAAAATTGCCGTAGTCATAACAAAACTGATTAGCGCATCGTGTAGAGCTCGTTGAGAGGAATAGATCGCCGTATCATTCGCCTTCAACAGACATAAAATGACGTCGCAACACAGTTTATGCGAGAGCCGGGGGCTTATGAGACCCCGGGGTCCCGCCATAAGGGTCAAGTGTGGAATGAGTCGCAGCGTTTAAAGAATCGCACTGCCAACCGCTGCCCCACATCACACCAAACTTCCAAGACCGATTTCGGTTTCTCTTAAATGCTGTGTTACAATTAATGGAAAACAAATAAAACCCATGAATAATGAAATCCAGGCATTTGCGATCCACCAGGCCTCCGCTTGGAAATTGCGACCATGCTTCACCACCCTGGTCACAGTGCAGGTTGATGAGGGCCGGCTTCTGTCGGAATGATTCTGACGTCGCTTGCCACCGACTGATGTTAGCTGCGGCCAGAACTCGCGTCACCGGGTTCACAGCACAGTGCGCTCACCGTTGTGCTACCGAGTTTGTATTTTAATGTAATACCTCGTACACTTGTCGCTGTGTGTAGTGATGTGTACATTTGTTATTAAATAATAATGCCCTGTGTCCAGGAAAAGTCGTGAATGGTTGGTGGGGGCGGGGAGGTTGGTTTTATTTTAAGGAGCATTTTGTTTCTGGGGGACAGAAGCAAAGAACGTGTAGCAGAAAAGCAATGTACTCCTGGCCACCAGGATGAGCTTCACTCAACGATAAAGTGGTCCCATGACCTTTGCCTCTAAGGCACTGCATTCCAGCTATGCGCCACCTCGTCTGGCAAACTTTTCCACGCACGGGCGGTGCAAAGGCAAACGGCCAAAGCGGTCGCCTGGATTGAGCGAGCCCTTGGGGTCATTGCTCATCCTGATTGGCTGCCTTGAGCGCAGTGGTGGTGGTGGAAAATCAGAATCTGTATTTATACTGGAGGAAGCCGATGAGCTATAAAGCTTTTTTTGACAGATTTTCCAGTAGGGAGCAGGTCAGAACGTTACAACAACAGTATCAAAACATGATAGGAGTGCAAAGTATAGGATCGGCAAAAATATACGTACAAAAAAACTAAACAATTTTTTATCTCACCAAATAAAGCCCATTGAACTATAACATTTTTCAGAAGCGACCTGGCCACAAATGACATCTCAACAAAATGGCTCATCATGTGGAAATGTATAGCGGAAAAAGTCACTTGTTCCGAGGTCAGCGAGTGCGTGTCCCCTTGGCTTTTTGGTAGTTTTGTGTAGCCCCAGGGGGATGGATGGCTAAGCTGTTCACCGAATGTGAATTCTCTTAGTCTCAAACCTTTTTTTAGGTTGTGTTTGATGCAGTCTGCCACAGGTTACATCCAGCGAGAAACGATTACCAAACCCACAGTTGTGCCAGCTTCACCGTGCTCCTATCTCAGGGAAGTTGCCGTGGTGCAATATAACATTGACAAGTAGGAAATTGCGTAAATGTTTTGGTCCGCATACATATTTTTGTATGTAGGCATGATTATGTGGTCGAATTTTTTTTATTTCACTAGACGTTAAGAGTTGACTGGCCCATGTACCAATTCTGTGAAATGTTATTCACTGTGCTGTGAACAGAAAACTGTGGATGACACTGCTGTGTTCGTAAGATGGTGCCCCAGGATAGACCTTGGGTACGTTTATAAATACGAATATAGCAGCATTGTTAGCATTACGTCGTGATGGCTATTTGTTGTGAATGACGAAACTGCCATTCATCTCGGGGCCTGGCCTAAGCTGCCACCGAATATAATCAACACAATTTTCAGACTTGCCTTTGAAGAAGTCTTTTCGATCAGGTGTCCAAATGCCCATCAGCTATTACTCTTTTTCATTGCTGTACCCGAGCCATTTGTGGACGTTCCACGTTTCCGTGACCGAATATAATTTACGTGCAACAGCCACCATTTGAATGAACTAACCCCGACTTGAGAATCTTCGCTCCGTTCTAACAGGGCCTGTCTGTGCCACGTGGTTCATGTCCTGGCAGGCGACTGCGGTTCACACAACAGCGACCGAGCACGACCGTCCAAATTTACGTTGCCCGTCAGCCTGGCTGCACATCCCTTTCATTGTCCCGGTTGTTTACGCTCCGCACGTAGGTTTAATTGACTACCAAGCAGGTCAAGCGTGATTAACGGAGCTCTGCTGCAATTTCCTTGTTGCAGTGCATCGATGGCAAAGGAGCGCGATCCTATTTGTGCCAACGCTCTGTTAATTGTCCCGCTGCCCGACCAAACGA